TTCTTCTTCTTCTTCTTCTTCTTCTTCTTCTTCTTCTTCTTCTTCTTCTTCTTCTTCTTCTTCTTCTTCTTCTTCCTTCCATTCCTTCCTTCCTTCCTTCCTCCCTCCCTCTTTCTTTCTCTCTCTCTCTCTTTCTCTCTTTCTCTCTTTCTTTCTTTCTTTCTTTTTCTTTCTTGTCAGGGATTCTCTTGTTCCAGGTCTGTTTTTCACAGGAACTCCTAAATGTAAGGATGAGGGAAAGTTGATTAGAGGATGGATGTCCCAGTCACAAACCATGGACCAGGAGATGGGCCGGGGGGCAGGCAACATGGAGGGAGGGCAACCCCTCTTCCCCTTCCTCTTCCTCTCCACTCCCTGTGGTGACTCTTAGGGAGCACTGACAGGAATGAGGGTTAGATTAAAAAAAAAAAAAGAAGGCCCTGAGATTATTTCTTCCCTTCAGTGAACACTATTACACTAACTCAGAGCAAGGACAGAGGGAAAGAAGGGACCTTTCCTTTCCCACAAGCTGAATGTGTGCCCCTTTCTACAGAGGAGAAGCCCATGACCCATCATCCCCTGCCAGGCACTTTCCTACTAGCAGATGTGGGCAGCGACTAGCCCAGCATCAACAAAGGTACCACCTCCTGCCATGCCCAAGGTGCGACAGGCCCAGAGTTGAAATGGAGTGGGACGTGGGGGAGGGTTATGGGTTATTCTTAAATTTCTTGAAGTTTCCGTGTCTCTTGTCATGTACTGTTAAAGCCTGACCTGAAATGGACCCCGCTGGGTGTCAGTCCCATGCTGCATGGGGCTTGGTCCCGTCTCCGTTTTGTTAACACAATAAACACTGGCTGCTCACTTCTGTCTCCTGAGAGGAGTCAAATAAGTCACCTCTGCTGGGCCACGAAACCTTTTCTGTGCCTACCAGTGGGCCCAGACACCACTGTATGTGAGTTTGATTTCTGTGGGTCAAGTGATACAGTGTGTGCTAACATTTTATTCTGTGTTATGTGCCAAGCACTGTGCTAACATTTTTATATTATGTCTGTAATTTGATCCTCATAGTACCCCATCACTGGTATTTTTATCCTCAGTTTGTAGATGGAGAAACCAATGTTTGGGTTGCTTCCTTACTGAGAATCACAACTCGAGTAAGCGGTGGGGTTGGGATTTGAACCCAGTTTGCCCCACACCGAGCCTATGGTTTGGACCCTACATGGGGGTCTCACGGGTCTGGGCCTAGGTGTCAATAGTTAATTTGGGCTAGACTTTTTCGACATAGCTAGTGAAAACTGCAAAACAAAACTTAACGAAAAATCATAAAATAAACAATTTGTGCCAGGAGGCTATAACCCAATTTTACCAAGGATGACAACTAAAGGGGTCATCTGAATTTGCCTTCCCCTCCTCCTCCTGCCTGTATAGCCAAGTGTTCTCTGAAAGCATCATTTATGTCTTAGTGATTCAGATGTCCTACAAGAGACTTTATCCTTAAATGGTCCAGGGTTAATAGTTCTTCCCTGCAGGCCTCTGTTCAGTTTTACTAAATGTCAAGTGTTTCCATTTTCTGCAAACTCTGAGCGCCAGAATACTGTTCTCTGTAATGCAGGGAGACCCAGAACAAAGCGAAGGAAGACCAAAGGGGAGGGTGATGCCACCTTTACCAGCTGAATCCCATTTGTGTCTCCAGTGACTTCTGACCTCCTTCAGGAGTTTTCACTGGGGGGAGGTCTACTTGCAAATGAATGCCAGTGGGGCAAATAACAGAGGTGAGCAAATGAAATATGGAAGCCTAAAACCCACCACCCTCCACTGAGATAATCCTGCCCTGAGAGCTCACTCAGGGGGTGTGTACATATAAGGTCAAGACAGAGGGTCCTCTCTAGTGAGGGGCTGAACAGTGTGGCCCAGATAGAAGCCAAAACATCTTCCGTCCTTTCCTTCCCCCAAATCCATTCGGCGCCTGAGGCCATGCACCTAACCCCTGCCTCACGCCTTATGCCAGGCCCTTCTCCTCTCTCCATACGGTTGTCCCGCTGCCCTCCCTTCCAGACCCAGTGCCATAAAAGTGGGATATTTTGCTCTAAGACTCTGATTCCATCAAGCAGCCCACCTCACCTCTCCCATCACTTCCAATTCTCAATGTCAAACACCAGCTCCAATATCATAAGCCTTCTGCGTGAGGCCCACCAACCTTGTACAACATCAAGAACACTTTCCTCTCTGGTCTGACACACATCTCCTGCCCTCCACCCCACCCCCAACACAAGCACAGGAACACTCACAGCTTCTGAAACACCCTGTGCTCTCCCCTTTCTGGGCCTTCACCCCTGCTGACTCCCCCACCACAAATCCCCTCATCCCCCTATCACTGCCCGAGATCAAGGCATCTCCTGAAGGGGGTAAACCTCATCCACCTTAGACTCCCAATGAGCAGGTGCTTGACAAACCTCCCTTGGGCAAGTGGAGAGATGCTGAGCCGGTAAGGGTACTTTGTTCCCATGACGTCACTACTTCAGCCAGAACATTTCAGAATGGCCATCCAGGGATGGTGCAGCAAAGAACAGAAGCTCAGGGCTCAGCTGGACCCGAATCGAGTCCCACCTCTGCCTCAGAAGACACCAGTCTCATCCTGTGCAGAACGTGAACCGCGGCAGAAGTGCCGCATGGCGGCGGTGGGAAGGCTTGCAGGCATGATGACCAGAAAGTATTTATCACGGTGCCAGGCACAATAAAAGGGCCCAAAAAATACGAGCTTGGGGGAAAAAAAAGTGCCTGGATCCATGAAGCTCTCGTTTTATTTATTTATTTTTCCTTCATGCCTCACAAATCACCATCGAACCTGCGAAGTGCTTTCCCTTTTCAGTGAGGAGAGCCAAATGCCCACTTCCTCGGTGAGGTAGGGCTTGGGGCAGAGACCTGGCTGGGTCAGCAGGGCTGGAAGGTGGGCGGCCACCGTGGGGTGGGCCCTGAAACCTGAGGGCCCGGAAAACCCATGGTTTACCACGGAAACCAAGACAGGACCTTCACATTAACACCCAGCCTTCCTTCCTCCCCCGGGGCCTCCTGAGCCCCCTCAAGTGTGAGGACAGAGGCCACTGCTCCAGTAGCTAAGGAGCCCACTCTGGGGTTTGATGTTTCCTGTCCTCCCACTCGCCGCAGAGTGGGCCGCTGCTCTTACTCAGGTGCTGGGGCTCTCAAGGCTCAGAGGCGGCGGAAGTCACAGGCCCCGGCAGCCTCCGACCCTGCCAGAGCTTGGCCCTGGCCTTAACTGGAGGCTGGCACATCTCCCACCAACACTGCTCCCTTCTCTCCCGAGCACAGGGATCTCTCTTGCAACTGCTTTTGAGAAAAGTCCGTCCCATTTTTTTTTTTTAAGAAAAAACAGCAGCACCCCTCCCCATAACAACCACATCCATTAAGAAGCGAAGGCCATTGTCCCCTTGGGAAGAGCCTCAGAAAGGGTTCTAAGAGCTGTAGACCGTTCAGCACAGGCCTGAAAACTCCATCTCTGTCCCACAGTGATTCCCGCCCAGTTTCTAGCATTAGAATCCAACTCATTGACCTTCCTCAGCTCTTCTGGAAATTGGCTTCTCACACAGCTCTCTGCCTTCTAAGTGCTGCCCCCAAAGGAGCACCTGTCCAGGTCAGCGGTCCCTCCACGGGCTCATTTGACTCAAGCTGGAGGCATAAAGTACTTAACTCAATTCCCAACACAGATAAATAAATAAATTGTTCACGTGGGTGGGCATGGAGGTGACAGGGATGGATTCATGTGTTTTTATTTTAATTTTTTATTGTTATGTTAATCACCATACATCATTAGTTTTTAATGTAGTCTTCCATGATTCATTGTTTGTGCATAATACCCAGTGCTCCACGCAGAACGAGCCCTCTTTAATACCCATCACCAGGCTAACCAATACCCCCACCCCCCTCCCCTCTAGAACCCTCAGTTGGTTTTTCAGAGTCCATCCTCTCTCGTGGTTCATCTCCCCCTCCAATTTCCCCCCCCTTCATGCTTCCCCTCCTGCTATCTTCTTTTTTTTTTCTTAACATATATTGCATTATTTGTTTCAGAGGTACAGATCTGTGATTCAACAGTCTTGCACAATTCACAGCGCTCACCATAGCACATACCCTCCCCAATGTCCAGCACCCAAAGGGTGCTCTCCCTCCCACCCCCCCACCACTCCAGCAACCCTCAGTTTATTTCCTGAGATTAAGAATTCCTCCTATCAGTGAGGTCATTTGATACATGTCTTTCTCTGATTGACTTATTTCACTCAGCATAACACCCTCCAGTTCCACCCACGTCATTGCAAATGGCAAGATCTCATTCCTTTTGATGGCTGCATAATATTCCATTGTGTATATATACCACCTCTTCTTTATCCATTCGTCTGTCGATGGACATCTTGGCTCTTTCCACAGTTTGGCTATTGTGGACATTGCTGCTATAAACATTGGGGTGCACGTACCCCTTCGGATCCCTACATTTGTATCTTTGGGGTAAATACACAGTAGTGCAATTGCTGGATCATATGGTAGCTCTATTTTCAACTGTTTGAGGAACCTCCATACTGTTTTCCAGGGTGGCTGCACCAGCTTGCACTCCCACCAGCAGTGTAGGAGTGTTCCCCTTTCTCCACATCCCCGCCAACATCTGTCGTTTCCTGACTTGTTAATTTTAGCCATTCTGAGTGGTGTGAGGTGGTATCTCATTGAGGTTTTGATTTGGATTTCCCTGATGCCGAGCGATGTTGAGCACTTTTTCATGTGTCTGTTGGCCATTTGGATGTCTTCTTTGGAAAAATGTCTGCTCATGTCTTCTGCCCACTTCTTGATTGGATTATTTGTTCTTTGGGTGTTGAGTTTGATAAGGTCTTTATAGATTTTGGATACTAGCCCTTTATCTGATATGTCATTTGCAAATATTTTCTCCCATTCTGTCGGTTGTCTTTTGGTTTTGTGGACTGTTTCTTTTGCTGTGCAAAAGCTTTTTATCTTGATGAAATCCCAATGGTTCATTTATGCTCTTGCTTCCCTTGCCTTTGGCAATGTTTCTAGGAAGAAGTTGCTGCGGCTGAGGTCGAAGAGGTTGCTGCTTGTGTTCTCCTTTAGGATTTTGATGGGCTCCTGTCTCACATCTAGGTCTTTCAACCATTTGGAGTCTATTTTTGGGTGTGGTGGAAGGAAATGGTCCAGTTTCATTCTTCTGCATGTGGCTGTCCAA